CTCTCAGCCCAGTGCTGGACACTGAGGAAGAGCAGCAGTCCTGTGGCCAGTTGTGGCAGGGGAACCTGGAGTCCTGTGGCCATCTCAGCAGAAGCCACCAACAGCTGACTGTTCACCCCACACTGTGCCTCCTACATTTGTTTCCTTCATCTTAATAACCTTGTCACTGAGCCACTTAGCAAATCAATGTGTAATTAGAGACAGAGTGCCCTCCTCTAGTTAATCATTACCCACTAATCTGTTATTGTCTTTCATTATGGGCCCCACCCTGGGAAAGACCAATCACTCCTATCTTGAAAAACTTATCTGACCCTGCATTTGCTCTGGGGAACATCCAAGTTCAAGCTTTTGTTTCTGATCCCATTTCTAACACAAGCCTGGACACCCATTCATGTCACTGCCTCCTACTTCTCTGTTAACCATGTTTATCATTATTAGGCTGCAGCTGAGGTCTGAGAAGTCACTACTGCCCTAGTCTCCAACCATACGCTCTCTGCTGAATGTGACCCTATTTGCTAACTCTTAAAACTCTTTATTCTCATGTATGAATAATATAGCACATCCAAAAAACATACAACATTGCTAAGCCATCTTTCTCTAAACAGGGAGTAGGGAAGCTGTCTATCTGGTTTTGGTCATTGTTCGCACCAGGATATTTCTTGCAAGGATCAAAGAAGACTCTCTCTGAAGTGGCTGTCAATATAAAAAAAAACAAAAAGCTGCAGGGAGGTTGAGGTCAAGATGTGATGATCAGATTCTTGGGAAGGCTTTGCTGAGAATGCTCCATCTATCCCGTGGAATAAGAAGGGCTGCTGTCTAAAGCACACGTGGGCAAGACAACCCTAGCAAAGATCCTTAGTGGGTTCAGGGAGCTCCCCACTCACTAAGGGACTAAAGGGAGCTGCTGCCTGGTGTCAGATCTTGCACAGTCTGAATTCCTCTTCCGAATGCTGAAGGCTCCAGTCTTCTGCAAGTCTGCTTACAGACCGAAGTGTCCATTCATTGAGCCCTTTATTTTATACTGAAGATTATAGTCAGGCTTTTCTCCAAGTCAATCCAGCACCAAGTTCTGATAAGAATAGTTCCTCCGGAACAGAATGGGCTGCATAATTTGTGGGGCCCTACTTCAAATTTCAAGATGAAGAATTAAATGTGTGACCCTCTAAGGGAGAAACCCTGAGAACCCTTCTCACAAGGGTCTCAGGCTCATGAGGCTTGTCCTACTCCAGAAAGTCACTCCTACAGGTGCTTGGAAAGATTGCTGATGCCTCCTTGTCGGTCGCCCCAGGATGATGTGGGCAGGCTCTCTGGACTGTGCACTTTCTATCTCACTTGTCTGTGTCTACATGCCCATCTGGGTCTACCACTGCTGGTGAGACTGAGGCTTCCCTTAGGGAGGAAGTTACCCTCATCAGAAATCCACATTGATAACAGATTCCACCTTTGGACAGAATCCATGGGACAGGCAGTGAATGGAAGCGTCCAGCAGGGCATACTCAGCTCAAGGGCGGCACATGCAGGATGGCACAGAGAAGGCAGGTCTGCAAAAGCTTTGAGAACTCTCCAGGGGAGGACAATTTATGTTCATCATCTGTTATGATGACATAGAACTCTAGAAAGGGATTCTCAGCTGTAGGTGCAACACCTCAGCCTCTGAGCTATTCCTCCCACCCCCTTAGAACTCGATGCCTCCTAAGCACCCTCCTGATGAGCCAGGGTGAGGGTGGAACACGCCTGAGAGGGTGCTCTTCCCACAGTCAAGGGGCTCTTTTGTTCTATCTCCATGCAGTGGTGTTTTATTTAAGACAGTGATGTCACTTCATTTGTAGTTACATATCTGGCCCTCCTATACCCCGGGGAGTCCCACATATTTGGAAAATGGTGGTGCCTTTCAGAGATGTGGCATCTCTAAGGAGAGAAGGACTGTGGGAGGGAGGAGCTCACATTCCTGGTGCCTGGGAAACAGAAGGAGCTGCCCAAGGCATCAGCTTCCAGGGTCTGGAGATGAGGAGGGGTCTGGGCTGCACAGATAAGACTTGGAGTGATCAACATATGTGGTAGTTGAGCCATGGGTATCAGTGATGTCACCCAGAAAAAGGCACCCTGAAAGCCTAACCTGAGTGATCTAATTCCCCTCTGTCAATCTCAGAGACCTAAGCGTACAAACTGGAACTTTTTAACATTTTTAAGAGAACACAGAAACTAATCTTCACACCTTGGGGTAGACAATGCTTCCTTAGGTACAAAAAGTACAAACAATGAAAACTTTGCTAGATTGAACCTCATCAAAATCTAAAACTTTCGCTCTTTGAAAAGTATTGTTTTTAAAAAATAAAAAACTTAAAGATAAGGAGAAAAGGAGATCATTGACTAATAAACGGATAACTCTGAAGCCTGGAGAGCAGAAGTCTGTGGAGGACAGGAACAAAAATTTAAATGGCCAGATAGTGGAAAACCTCCAAGCTTTGAATAAGATGTGGCTTTCACTTTAAGCTTAGTGTCTCTGGTAGGCAGAATCACAGCCCCACAAAAGTATCTACATTGCACTTCCTCAAACTTGGGAATATGTTCCATTACAGGTGGAAGAGACTTCACAGATGATTAAATTAAGGGTTTTGAGATGGGGGGATTATTCTGGGTATCTGCGAGGGACAATGGAATCACAAGGGCTCTTACAAGTGAAAGAGACAGATGTTAAGAGTTGGAGACTTGAAGATGCTACACTGCATCTCCATGGAAATGGAAAAGTGCCATAGAATTCCAGAATTAACAAGGACAAAGGAAATTTCTGTTAAAGGAATGAGCTTACACTCAATGGAAAGAATACAATTAAGAACGGGCAGAATAAGAATGCTGACTTCAAAGGAAACTATCAGATTGAAGCCATTTTGGTTTTTGTTGTGTTTTAAATAAATAAATCAAAAAACCACAGGAGCTGAAACCCCGGAGCTCAATGATCCTCTCACCTCTCACCTGAGCCTCCCAACTAGCTGGGACCACAGGCACATGCCACTGCACCTAGCTTTTTCATATTGGAGTTTTAAAAAATGTTTCCTAAACCTTTTAAACAAGATTTTCACACACCAAAGAAATTTTTATTTTTTCAAGATGGGTCTCATTCTGTCACCCAGGCTGGAGTGAGGTGGCATGAACATGGCACACTGCAGCCTCCACCTCCTGGAATCAAGTGATCCTCCTGCCTCAGCCTCCTGAGTAGCTGGGACCACAGACATGTGCCGTCATGCCTGGATAATTTTTTGATTTTTTGTAGAGATGAAGTCTCACCCTATTGTCCATCCTGCTCTCAGAGTCCTGGGCTCAAACAATCCTCCTGCCTTAGCCTCCCTAAGGCTGAAATTACAGATGTGAGCCACCCATCTGCACACAGATAATTTTTGAATTAAAAGGGATGGGAAATTAAAGAAATAACATAGGAGTAGCAATACTGGTACCAGATAAAATGCATTTTCAAGATTATTATTTAATGATAACAGCAAACTACATGAAGAAAATACAAGTCTCAAACCTACATACCAATCTAATCACTATGTATAACACAAAACCTATTCAAAAACCAAAATATAACTTGAGCAGAATTTATTATGTAAGGAGGGATTTTTTAAAAGACATCCTTCCCAGAATTGGGCAGATTCAGTAGAGGTTTCTTTAAAAAGTAGAAAAATTACCCGGGTGTGGTGGCTTACGCCCGTAATCCCAGCACTTTGGGAGGCTGAGGCAAGTGGATCGCTTAAGGTCAGGCATTTGAGGCCAGCCTGGCCAACAGGATGAAACTCCATCTTCACAAAAAATACAAAAAAAATTAAAGTTAGCTGGGCATGGTGTCCTGCACCTGTAGTCCCAGCTACTTAGGAGACTGAGGCAGGAGAATGGGTTGAACTCAGTAGGTGAAGCTTGCAGTGAGCCGAAATTCCACTACTGCACTTCAGACTGGGCAACAGAGTGAGACTCCATCTCAAAAAAAAAGAAAAGATAGAAAAATTGAAAAGACAGAGAAAATTTTAAAAAAGAAAAATTGAAAAGATAGAATTTTAATTGTGTCCACGGAACATTTATAAACATTGGCCATATTACTGTCACTAACTACATATGATTACTGAGCACTTCATACGTGGCTAGTCCAAATTGAGATATGCTGTAAGTGTCAGATATATGCTAGATTTTGAAGGCTTAACAAAAAAACCTATGTAAAGTAATTAAGTAATAATTTTCTATTGGATATATGTTGAAAGGATAATATTTGGTATACATCTGGTTAAATAAAATGCATTATTAAAATTAATTTCAGTGGTTTCTTTTTGCTGGTGTTTACCATGCCCACTAGAAATGGTTACATTATGTATGTGGTTTACATTATATTTCTATTGAAAAATTCTGTATTAGACCATCAAGGTAACCTATTAAGAATTTTTTTAAGTCGTGTCTTCACAAGAAACATTCTCCCATTATAATCCAAAATTCCCTCACTAAAAACTGAACTCCACGTTTCCTTCTCTGATCACAAACATCCATCACACCTCCATCGCCCCGCTTCCACTGAACTGACTGAACCTCTTTGAAACTTCTACGTCCTGTGAGTGCTTGTCTTGCGGGGTCACTTCTCTATCTTTTGCAAGATGGGACCACTAAAAATTATCATGTTAACAATTGTAAATTGCTGTTCCTTCATCCTTTCTACTGAAAATCTTGAAAGCAAGATTTGAATGGAGCAGTTCCCAACGTAGTGTCCCTGCTCCTGCCCAGCTGAAAGGCATGCACAACCATGAGGATGGTGCCTTTACAAACGAACAGTCTCAGTGAACCACACCAGTCCTTGTCCATCCTTTGGCAGAGCCTCGTCCCTGCCTCTCCTTCCTCTCAGTGGCCATTGAAAAACTGAACTGCACTACCATTGACCCTTTAACAGTTTATCTCACTGAAGACTATTATGACAATAAGAAGCAGAAATGAAGTCTTTGGAAAGGTTAAGTATACAGACACACTTATAAGTAAATACAGTTTTTAAAGTGTTTTGCCTGGAACATTGATTGCATGAAGGCACCAATACAGACCTGAGACAGTGGCTTCCTGTTGGCACAGTTGATGCCCCCAATGAAGACCATGTTGGGCATGATCAGCCTGGGGTAATCCATCACAAAGTTCCCCTCTGAACAACCACACAGATGCATGGCTGAGAATATCCACCACTGGCACTGCTCTCTGAAAAAGCTCAGAAGCAAGGCTTGCAAAGGGAGCAGAAAAAGCATGGCAAATGTAGGACAGAGCCAGAGGGTAGAGCATGTTCTTGACCCTCTGCAGGAATGTCATGTGGTCTGAATTCGTTGTTAGTAACTTAGGAACATAGGAGTAAGGATTTGGACACTGTGTGCCCTTAAAGTCTAAGTCACATGGAATGTACCTCAAAAAAAACACAGTAGGAATCGACAGGTACTCAGCCAGCACCGGCCCGCAGAGGTAAATGGGGTCTGTTAAAACCACATCAAAGGAAGTGGCATTCAGGTGCCTGATCAGGGTCTCATTATGCAATAGCTCCACACAAGACCTATGAAAGACCACAGAGGCATTTTTCAAAATCTCCATACTTCTAGAAAATTTCTTCAGAAAATGCTCTGTTTCAAAGATGAGTCGAGCATGGCTGGTAAAGAAGTTGTTAAATTCATCCTGGGTGCATGGAATGGTATAAGTTGTCAGGGTGACAAAGTCCTCTTTGATGTGCATATTCACCTCTGGGGTGAGGACCACTGCCTGGTGGCCTCTGGAGTGGAGCTCCTGCACAACTTCCCACATGCTGAGCCAGTGGCTGCCATCCGTGGGCAGCACCAGCACCTTCCCACTCTCAGTCCAGGGCTGGTCACTGAGGAGGAGCAGCAGTCCTGTGGCCAGTCATGGCAGGGGAACCTGGAGTCCTATGGCCATCTCAGCAGAAGCCACCAACAGCTGACTGTTCACCCCACACTCTGCCTCCTACATTTGATTTTTTGTTTTCTTGTCACCAAGCCACTTAGCAAATCGGCACGTAATGGGAAGACAGCCCTCCTTGAGTTAATCATTACAGGATAAATCCATTCATTACTGGACCAACCCAGAGAGAGACACAATGGCTCCTCCTTGGAAAAACTTCATCTGACCCTGCTGCCTACTCTTTGGAACATCCAAGTTCAATCTCTTGTTTCTCATCGAATTTCCAACACAAAGCTATGGCACCCACTTCATGTCACTGCCACCTACTTCTCAGGTAGCCACATTCATCAGGCTGCAACTCAGGTCTGAGGGGTCACCAATGCTCCGGTCCCCAACCATAAAGTCTCTCCCAAACGTGACCCTATTTGCTAATTCTAAACTTTCTCTTCCTATGCATGAGAATACAGCACATCCAGAAACCATATAGCACTGCTAGACCAGCTTTCTGTGAATGGGAAGAGGGAAAGTGGCTCTCTGGTTTTCTTCACATTCCACACACAGATATTTCTTGTAATGAGCAGAAAGGACTCTACCTGAAGTGACTGTCAAACATGGGAATAGCTGGCAGGATTCTAAACTCAGGATTTGATTATTTGAATATTTTTAAGGGTTTGTTGAGAATTCTTCATCTACCCCAGGCGTCCCCAAACTATGGCCCACGGGCCGCATGCGGCCCCTGAGGCCATTTATCCGGCGCCCGCCACACTTCAGGAAGGGGCACCTCTTTCATTGGTGGTCAATGAGAGGAGCACAGTATGTGGCGGCCCTCCAATGGTCTGAGGGGCAGTGAACTGGCCCCCTGTGTAAAAAGTTTGGGGATGCCTGATCTACTCCATGGAATAAGTTGCTGTTATTTAGAGCATGCATGGACAAAACAACTGCAGAATGCTTCATGCTCCCACAGGCTACTCATCACTAGAGTCTGACCTCAGATCTTGGGCAGTCTGAATTCCTCTTCTGAATGCTGAAGGCTCCAGTCTTCTGAGTCTGCTTAAAGACTGAAGTGTCCCTTCTCAAAGGAAGACATTTATATGGCAAAAAAAACATATATTAAAAAAAGCTCATCATCATTGGTCATTAGAGAAATGCAAATCAAACCCACATTGAGATACCATCTCATGCCAGTTAGAATGGTGATCATTAAAAAGTCAGGAAACAACAGATGCTGGAGAGGATGTGGAGAAATAGGAATGCTCTTACACTTTTGGTGGAAGTGCAAATTAGTTCAACCGTGGAAGACAGTGTGGCAATTCCTCAAGGATCTAGAACCAGAAATACCATTTAACCTAGCAATCCCATTACTGGGTATATACCCAAAGGATTATAAATCATTCTACTACAAAGACACATGCACATGTATGTTTACTGCAGCACTGTTCACAATAGCAAAGACTTGGAACCAATCAAAATGCCCACCACTGATAGAATGGATAAAGAAAATATGACACACATGCACCATGGAATACTATGCAGCCATAAAAAAGGATGAGTTCATGTCCTTTGCAGAGACGTGGGTGAAGCCGGAAGCCATCATTATCAGCAAACTAACACAGGAACAGAAAACCAAACACCATGTTTTCACTCATAAGTGGGAGTTGAACAATGAGAACACATGGACACAGGGAAGGGAACATCACACACCAGGGCCTGCAGGGGGTGAGGGGCTAGGGGAGGGATAGCATTAGGAGAAATATCTAATGTAGAAGACAGGTTGATGGGCGCAGCAAACCACTATGGCATGTGCATACTTATGTAACAAACCTGCACGTTCTGCACATGTATCCCAGAACTTAAAATGTAATTTAAAAAAAATTGAAGTATTAAAAAAAAAAGACTGAAGTGTCCTTTCATCCAGGCCTTTATTTCAACCTGAAGATTATGGTCAGGCTTTTCTCCAAGTCAATCCAGCACCAAGTTCTGATAAAAATAATTCCTCCAGAACAGAATGGGCTGGTATAATTTGTGGGCACCCTTGTTCAAAATTCAAGATGGAGAATTAAATGTGTGCTCTTCTCAGGGCAGAATCCTGTGCACTCACACAGGACTTATGGCTATGAGGCTGGTCTTGTTGAAAAAGTCACTCCCACATGTGCTTGGCAAGATTGCTGATGCCAGCCAGGTGCAGTGGCTCATAATATAGGCACTCACCAGCCAGGTGCGGTGGCTCATGCCTGTAATCCCAGCACTTTGGGAGCCTGAGGTGGGCAGATCGCTTAAGCCCAGAAGTTGGAGATCAACTTGGGCAACATGGCAAAACCCCATTTCTACTAAAAATGCAAAAATTAGCCAGGCACGTGGTGTGCCTGTAGTCCCAGCTGCTTGGGAGGCTGAGGCAGGAGAATTGTTTGAACCCTGGAGGTGGAAGTTGCAGTGAGCCAAGATCTTACCACTGCACTATATCTAGCCTGAGTGACACAGAGAGACCCCGTCTCAAAAAAAAAAAAAAATGTGGGCAGACTCTCTGAGATGTGCACTTTCTATCTTACTACCACTGGGGAGACGTGCTCATGGAGAGATACTTCCTGTGTAATACCAGCTGCCACTGTGCAGGGAGTGCCTGAATTAGACCTCTCTTATAGGCTATGAGCCCAGAATCTTCTTTCTCTTACTTCCTCTCCAACAGCAACTTCTCTGCTCTCCACTTTCTGTCCCAGCCACATAACTGTGTGTTTTCCCCAGGCTCAGCTCTGTCTTTTTTCCCCCGCCAAATCCTATCTTTTTCATCACCCATTCACATCTACCCAGAGCCATGAAAAATGACTAGGGCTCAGGCTGCTCAGATCCTCTATTCAGAGTATAAAAGCTTAGAAGAGGAGGGAGCGGGTGTCTGGGAACGCAGAGCTTTAAGTTTATTGTTGCTGCTGCCTTGGCTGTTAAGTTCATTAGCAAGGAAACTTGCCGGTGGTTTCCAGTTGCCACCTTATGTAGTGGTAGGAGCAGCAAGTTTGCAGAGTTGGGACTCCTCCTTCCACTGAGGACTCAGGAGCCTCTCTTGCTTGTCCAGCTGTGGCTGCAGTGGACAACTGCTGGAGATCATACTAGGCCAGTGTGTCTAGCAGTCTGCAAACAGGGCATCACCCCAACCTCACCACGGTATTGTCAGCCAAGTCAGAAGACACAGCACACCTAAGGCCTCAGTTAGGGCAGCAGTGTTTACCCTGTGCTAGCTAGAGACATTAATTTATAATAGACTGGAAAAGATGAAGAGGCATACAACAAATATTTCACATTATAGCATTCTGGACTTCGCATAGCTTTGATGCAAGGCCAAACGACATCTTCCTAGGGTTTTCGACATGACAACAAAAAAAAACTAAAATTCACCTAGAAGCATTTCCAGCTTCTGGTAACAGAGGTGTTGCTCCTATCAGACCAGTGCTCTCACAGATAATGAGTATAACCTCTTGCAACTGTTAAACAAACAAGCACACTGATATGGTTTGGCCCTCTGTGCCCACCCAAATCTCATATCGAATTGTAATCCCCACATGTCAGGGGAGGGTCCAGGTGGGAGGTGATTGAATCATGGGGGCAGTTTCCTGCCATGCTACTCTCATGATGGTGAGTTCTCACAAGATCTGACAGCTTAAAAGTGTGCGGCACTGCCCCCTTTGCTCTCTTGCTCTCTCTCTCGCTCTCTCTCTCTCTCCCTCTCTCTTAATCCTGCTTCACCATGGTAAGATGTGCTTGCCCTCCCTTCACCATCTGCCATGATTGTAAGTTTCCTGAGGCCTCCCAGTCATTCTTCCTCCTAAGCCTATGGAACTGTGAGTCAACTGAACCTCATTTCTTCAGAAATTACCCAGTCTCAGCTAGTTATTCATAGCAATGTGAGACGGACCGATACACACATACACACATACACACATACACACACACACACACACACACACACACACACACACACACACACACTCGAGAGGAGCCGTCTGAAGGCATGGGAGAGCAAGCAAAAGCAGGCAAAGATGAAAGAGGGAAGGAGGCGGCAGTGGCTGGTGAGTTTCCCATATCAATGGCTTTTTGCACCAGGGCAAGGCACAGTTAGTGCCACACCCTGGCACTAAAAACTCATTCTTGAAAGCCCTTAAAACTCATTCTTGAAAGCTTTATCTCCAACCCACCCAGCACAGAGGCATGGAACTGGCAGGAAGCAACTGGGGAGTGGGGCAATTAAAAACTGGATGACTCCGGCCTCAGTGGGGAGTGTGTTGGAGCAGCAAGCAGGAGGCAAAAGATCAGAGACACATACCGTTGTCTCAGTATTTGTGGAGAATTGGTTCCAGGACTGCAAAATTCAACCTATAGCAGAATCCAGCTGCTCTGGGCTGTGTGTGCTAAGCTGGGGGCCTGAGCATCATCCTAAAGGCCCATGCAGCCACTGGAGAAGGTGTGGCATGGCCAGATGTGTGTTCCTGGAATATCCCTTGTATAGTAGAGTAGAAAGTAGTACAGAGAGGTCAGCATGCAGCCCATCTGGAGGTTGTATGTGAGAGGGGAGGACCTGAATCAAAGCCACCTACAGACAGAACTCATGGGACAGGCAGTGAATGGAGGCATCCACCAAGGGGACACCCTGCTCAAGGGCAGCACATGCAGGATGGCACAGAGAAGGCAGGTCTGCAAGGGCTTTGGGAACTCTCCAAGGGAGGACAATTCCTGGGGAGTTGTGAGGACACAGAGCACTAGAAAGGGACTCTTAGCCAGGTGCAGTGACTCACGCCTGTAATCCCAGCACTTTGGGAGGCCAAGGTGGGCAGATCACATGTTCTGGAGTTAGAGCCCATCCTGGCCAACATGGTGAAACCCCATCTCTACTAAAAATACAAAAATTAGCTGGGTGTGATGGCACATATCTGTAATCCCGGCTACTTAGCAAGCTGAGGCAGGAGAATCACTTGAACCAAGGAGGCGGAGGTTGCAGTGAGCCCAGCTGAGACCACACCACTGCACTCCAG